AGCAGTCTGACTTGTGCTGGAAGTCTGAAGTGTACAGTATGAACAGGAATGGTGAGAGTACAGTTCCRTGTGGTGCTCCTGTGCTGCTGACCACATGGTTAGACACATAGTACTTCAGTCTCACAAACTGTGATGGATTATAATGATGGATTAAGGCTTTTGTTTAAAAAAAAAAAGCCCAGATGGACCAGTYCCAGTGAACTGTGTGTGTCTGCTAGTGTCAGCTCTTTGATGGCTGTTTTAAGAAATCTTATATATAAATTTAGGGACAGAAGTTACTGTTATCAGCATTAACATCGGTACTGGCTGATATTGGTAAAACTGGGCCAATATTAATGTCCAATATTGATTTCCCACTTTTTAGCTTTGTGTTTCTGTTTTGGGAGGAGAAATGGTTGGGTGAGTGGTATCTGTTGGATCATAATAMTGATGCTGCGCAGCCAGGAATAACTGAAGCAGAGATCCATGTTAGCAGTCTGATCATTTTTTATGGTATCGAGAAAAGACACAAGTGTATTTGTGCATGTATGTATATAAATAATTTGTGTTTTTGTGTAATATCAGTAAATATCGGTTATTGGCCACAACGCCAACAATAATATCGGATATCGATATTGGCTTATCCTTATATATATTTATTTGCAGACTAAATAAGTCTAATAATACAACTGTTTTATTGTTGAGTAATGTTGAATATAGTGCAGGAAGATATATTTATTGTCTGTATTTTGGAAACATTGGTATGACTGCCTCCTACATGGTTAGGGGTCTTTTTATGTACTTTTACCCTTTTATTATTGTTATTATTTGGACTTCGAGTCTGTCTGTCTGTCTGTCTGTCTGTCTGTCTGTCTGTCTGTCTGTCTGTCTGTCTGTCTGTCTGTCTGTCATTACAAGGTTTTTATTAAAGTCAGATCTACATATTTCTTTCCCTTTAATTACAACAGCTTGCTGTATGTTAGTGTGTCACATTTTGATGCAGAAAACTACTTTTTAGAGCATYCTGTATCAATTTGCCTCAGTTATGATGAAAAATATAAATTTCCTGCTAGATTCTGCTGCAGAAATATTATGGATTTATTGAAAATATTTTAACTGCAAACCTGCTAAAAGTACTCTTTCTTGTTGTCAATTAAAACATAGTTATTAATGAAGTTTATGTTTTCTCTAAACAGAGCAGCATGCTAAAGCAAAGAGCTGTGTGTGAGAACAGAGCCACATGAGGCCATTTACAAGTATAAGGTTTTATTACTGAATGCACTTCACTGGGCGTGTCACCAAAAGGGAAATACTGCATATAATAAAACGTTCAAACTATATCACAGCACTAAAAGGCACAAAATTATTTTCTGTCCTAATCTACGATTCAGGCCCTGCCTCCAGCCTGACCGGCAGCGGTCTGATGCACCGGCTGACCTGGGCTTGGCATGGCAACAGCGTTGTGTGTGAAGCTGCAGCAGTGCTGAAAGTTTAATGCGCTGGGAGAGGTGAGGCGAGAGGATGTGCTGGAGTGACCTAGAAAAGCCTGCCGGCAGAGGCAGGAGGGTGTAGAGCAAGGAGATGAGTGAGGATGGGGGGAGGGGTCGGCACTCGCTCCTTCCTCCCTCTATGTCCGATGCATCATCCTCACCAAGTCCACATCAGCAGCTAAGCCCTGTCTGTGTGTGCTCTTTTTTTTAACTATCATTAGCGTTGGAGTTGAGTCATAGCTTTAAGGGATATGATACAAAAAGCCTGACGTGGCTCTGACAATTACTCGAAAGCCAACATTGCAAATGAGAGCAGCGCAGACTTTAAACGGATGTGAAAATAGTTAATTTAAATAAAGGAGTGAGTCACTTTTAAAGCGATGTATTTAGTTTTATGTCACAACGCTCTCTCAAAATGTCCTGCTAATGAAGCCCTTTGTAGCGTGCAGAAATAAAAAGGTAGCTAGATTTAAAATAAAAACTGCCCAGTCAATGATTTTGTATTTATAAATGTCTCGAGGCCCAAACTGCTGTTAGGTTTTACATTACAGTATAACAGGAGGCATAGAGGGAAGCAAAACCAGGGTTCCCACACATTGGTCAACATCAAATTCAAGGACATTTCAAGGACCAATTTCCTGAAATTAAAGAACCACGTTACTGCTACCACAGAATGTAAAGAATAAGAAATAAACAGGTTTAATATCATGTAAATTCAATGAAAAACTGAACAACATAGAAGTTGTTGAGTCAGAAACAATGACGTCAGTTTACCGTAATCTTGAGCTATCCAGCACAACAAATGTAAGTTTTTTTTTTTTTTTTTTTTTATGATTTGTTTTTTTAAAAGATGATGAAAATCAGTCGTGTGAATAGAGAATTTCAATCCCCAAAAAACATTCAAGGACTTCCAAGGACAGGTGTAATTTCTGGCTGTTTTCACAAACTTTCCAGGGCCTTGAAGTATTTTTTTAATTCACAAATTTTCAAGGATTTCAAGGACCCGTGGGAACCCTGTAAAACGTCCAACCAGGTTTCCTACAGTTTAAAGCAAGTTAAATTTAAGATGTTTTAAGACTTTTTAATGCCAAGTGAAATTAAATTTAAGACCAATTTCATAATAAACACAAATGACAAAAAAATAAAAACTGGCAGAAACTCATGAATCAAAGTATTTTTGGTTGAATTATTCAAATATTGCTAATAGACCAATTGTTTTTATCCATATCTAACTATATAGCAGAAAAATTCTTAGCAGTCAGGTTTAAACTTAATTTAATTTCAGGAAATCCTCTAACAACCCACCATTTGGAGTTTTAGGACCCACAGCGGGGTCTTAACCCCAATTTGCTGTAGATGAAACCTTAAAGTGCCTGTGACATTAATTTTTTGTAAGAAAAGTTAATGCATTTTTGAAAAGACAACATTAACATATTACAAAACAAATTTCACACTGCTCAGTTGAACAGTTGAGATATTTGCATGTGAAATAACAGGAAGTGATGTCAAAGTGGAATGTCTGCATGTGAATATTTAAAAAACTGTTTTTTAACAATTGTTTTAATATTTGAGATGAATTACAGTCATCTTATTTACAATGTGTTAACATTTTTAAGACCTCTGAAAGATTGATTTAAGACATTTTAAGGCTAATTAAGGTCTTATTTTTGGATTGATGAATTCAATGACTTTTAAGACTTTTTAAGGATCTGCAGGAAACATGCCAACTTAAGAGCTCACCGATGTCATCATCCGTTCTGTCCATGGGGTCCTTTTCCAGACAATCCCGCACGATGTCCCGGCTCATGAGGGGGTCCGACGCTCGCTCGATGTCCTCCTCGTCGTCGTCCTCCTCGGAGTCGACGGCAGTCTCCGGCAGGCCGCTCAGGTCCATGTCACCTGGCTCGTTCTCAGTGGCCTGAGGGAAGCAAACAGATGAGAAATGAGTCTGAGATTAAATATGAACATGTGGGGGAGAAGCGCCAAGTTCAGCCAGCATCAGCAGCTCAGAGCTGTCCGACAACAACAGAGTCATGATCCTCTGGAGTCCATTAACACATCTGAACAACACAATTAAGCTGCAACCTCGTCACACAAGGTAAGCTACCAGAAAAGCTTTCATAACGTCTACTGTAGATTTTTTTAGCCATTTTAAACGAGAAACATCATCGTCGACAGTAGATTTTCAACCAAATACAGACTGTACAGATTTAACCCACTTTGTGAAATGAGGTACAGAGTACAGTATGAGGAAGACAGACAACACTGAATATCAAACAGTCTGCTATGCATAGTAACAAGCTAATTAACTGCCAACTTTCTTCTTCTTCTCTCCCCCTCAGCAAACTCCACAGCCCGCCTCGCAGCCAGATCCTGTTCTTTGAAAGCGCAAGATGAAAAATGTGCGAAGCCACGAAAAAGAGCGAAGATGAGAAGTGAACGCAACGCAATTACTCGGGCATGAGCACTACTAAGGGGGTTCTTCTGCCGCTTTCATTAGAGAAAGTACAACTGTGCACGACAGAGGAGCCATACTGCTTAGTTCAGACAACATGAAACACCCTCGCAGAGCATAATCAAAGCAATTACACAATAATACAAAACAGCAGCTCTGCCGCCGAACAACAAAGAAATCTCTCCCCACTACACAACGTCCGACCTCGAGCTTTTTGACAGAAAGAGAAGAAAAGGTTGCCTTAGCAAAATGTCCACAAAATCCCAGAGCCAGACGCATCTTCGCTGCTTGAACCGCCAGCCTGCTTTAAAATTTTTAATGCCGAGCCTCCTTGCAGAGTCTCTCGCAGAGACCCTGTGTCATTTCTCCACAAATGCCATGTGAAAAAGGCCATTAATGATTTAGAGCTTCACTGGCCATGTGGGCATCACTGGTGTACAATCTGGCAGGCGGAGCCAAGGCGGGGTCTGCAGAGATTATGTTGGGAGTGAAAGTGAGACTTTAAGACAGTTAAAGATTAAGTATGCCTTGCATATAACTTGAGTAACATAACCAACAACATATAAACTAAAAGATTTGTATCAAATCTGGCTCTTCAGAGCTAGACTGACCCATGAAACAGGTTTATAGATTCTACAACAAAAACATAAAACCTTTAAGTGACCTGTGCTCTTTATTGTCTACTGCAGATACTTCTGTTTTATAGTACTAAACATGATAAATGTGAACTGATAAATTGAACACAAGCCGTTTAGACGGTTTAGAAGCAGTTGGGAGGAGTTCTTTTGTTTTCTTCTCATGTCTTATTATTATTTTTTGCATGTTTCAAAGATCCATAAATCTGCAGTAGACATTAGGAGTCAGTGGGCAAGTCAAGTGCTGTTAATATTTCATGAGGGCTATTCTTGGATCAATGCTTTCAAAGGACCAATTTCATGATTTATTCAGTCACAAACAGGCCGCCATGCTGACAGTGACGTGAGAACGATGTGGAACTGTCCACTCCGGCTGAAGGACGTGATTATCGAAGCAGCAGAGGAGCCTTGCCGTTAAACCACTGTGTGGTCCCATCAATCATCTTTACCTGCCCTGCTCAGCATCTCTTAATTTTGGCATCAGCAAAATTATGAGATACATGTCAACAGCAACTTCAAATATAACAAGGCTATAATTATTCGAACCATCCTGCAATAGCGTTAGATGGCCAGCATTCCAACCGTGGTTTGACCTTTGCCAACCGTGGTTTGACCTTTGTCAGTTGCCCCTTGTTATGTGTTTAAATAAAAATAAAAAAAACTAAAACGTAAGTTGTTTTAGCCTTTAAGAAGGTAATTACTGGACAGCTTARTCTCACAAAAAACCCTCAAACTGTCCATAAATGTATGAATTAACTTCAATCTTTCTAAACATTTCCCAAAGAATTATAATAACCAAGCAAATGTCCAAAGGNGGAAAGGAAAGGAAAGGAAAGGAAAGGAAAGGAAAGGAAAGGAAAGGAAAGGAAAGGAAAGGAAAGGAAAGGAAAGGAAAGGAAAGGAAAGGAAAGGAACAAACATCCCACCAGTGGTGCAGTACTTTAAAGCCTTAGTCATGACAGGTACACAGGACAGTAGAAATTAAAAAACTTGAAATTTATTTCTGAAACATGTCTATTTCTAAATTTTCTAAATGTAGTAGAAATACAGCAGTGATGTCATCGAACTATGGTTGGAGCTGGTCATGAGACAAAAACAGAAAACAGCAGGTCTTCATGTTGTCTATAAAAACAAAAGCTAAACCAGACAATGAACATATATTGTTTAAATATTTAAACAGCTCTACAGCAAAACGTAGTCTTAAACTTGAAACCAGGGGCACCAACAATTCTCCTAAAGCAAGCACTTAGTCCCCAAATTAATGCCATCATTATTACAGACATCTGAGGCAGTCAAATCATTTCAACACATACAACAGCTAAACCAAAGCACAAACATGAATCATAGGAGAGCTCAGCAGTGATTTCAAATACAAGACATAGTGAGACAAAGGAGAAATCAGGGCAGGATGCAGTGTTTCAGAGACAGAGAACCCACAGTTATGAGAGAAAATTTCTAGCCAAGAAGGAAGAAAAAAAAAGAGAGAACAGGACCGAGTGTGTGATTTTGACAGAGGAAAATCAAGAGGCCGTCATAAAGCCGAGAGCAGATGGCGGTAAGACTGGGATCAGACCAGGCTGAGGACAGTAGAGCCTGTTTAACCTCCAGCCAGCCAAAGCAAAGCCAAACATACAGTAAACACACCGTTCTGTGATTTAATACAAGCTCGCACGTGTCTCTCACACACAACCATCCGTGTGTACCCCAACAACCAGAACGAATGCAGAAAAATACAAGTCGGTAAGAGGTTTGAGCAAAACAAAGCCATTGTGACTGAATGTGGCCCTGAGCAGAATCACAAGAACACAACAAACACACAGGAACAGGCACACAGCAGGTGACAGCATTAGCATCCAGTGTGGTGGATATGCTATGTTAAGAGGATTAGTTGRAGGGTTTGGGCTAAGTCCACAGTCACGGGATTTTCTGTTTCTGCATCCTTCTAAGTTGAATTGTTTTGTGTCAAATCTAACACTTTGTGATTATTTTTACTATTTATTCATTGTTATTGTCACATATTGTGTGAACGTCATCAATAAAAAAAAACAAATCTGCGAAGTTTGTGGGGATCTCAGTCACAGTTTAGCATAAAGTTTATCGCGTGAGACGTCATAACTCCCCGGGAGTCCTGTACTTCTGCTATGAGGTGATGACAAGCAGAAGTGGAGGCAGGATGTAGGCTGGACCACCTGCTCGCAGCCACCAGCCTTTCTGCTCACCTCCCACTGAGCCGTGACAGTTGCCTGTCAGTGTCCCGTCGACCTTCTGGCAGAGAAACCTTTGAATTAATGGCAGAGAAAATGTCCATCTTAACGAGATTACCGAGAACTCACACAGGGCTGGTTGTCATTTGGCCACGAAGGGGAGGAATTCCAACTTGCTGGACATCCGTTCAGATTGTCTGCTGCATTTATGCACCTTGATTCGTGCTCAAAATAAGCTGAAAAGTTTATATTAATATATAATATCATTCTAACAAGTAATTATTTTGTTAAAGTCAAAAAGAAAAAATAAGTAGGTCCTCTGGATGGGTTCTTCTTTAGTGAAACGTTTCGTCTCTCCTCCAAGAGACTTCTTCAGTCTGATGAGTTTCAGGTGA